CGTGTGTGTGTGTGTGTGTGTGTGTGTGTGTGTGTGTGTGGTGCGCGAGGGGGACCCTTGGAGACGGCGCTCTCGGCTCTGGCCTGGCGCTCCCAGGAGGAGGTGAAGTCCGGCCCGGGACCCCACTCACAGACGTTGGGCTACCCTCTGCCTGTGTTCATCAGCTTTGTTGCTCCAGCTGAGACACCGCACACGGCAGCCCTGGGGTCCTGGCTCGGAGAGGTGGGGTTATTTGCTGATTCGGTTGACAGTCCATGCTACAGGTCTGTGGAATGGAAACACCCTACCTTTGCGGACTGCTGCTCTGAGGACGTTTGCACTCACAGGCGCCCAACCAAGTTGCGTGACAAAACTCTGCAGCTCCTTCCATGAAAAAAGGAAACCGCTTGCTTTTTTCCTTCTGTCGTTTATTCATGGATAGTGAAGTGAACAATGTTTTGCGGTCCTGGTAGGCGGAGAGGCAGTCTTGACTTTGACATACGCAGTCAAACATGTCAGTCCTTGGTGTTCAACATCTCATACTTCTCAAGTGGCTTGCATCTGGTGCCTCGCTGTCCCCAGTTAGTATCCAGACACTACATCCTGGGATTTAAATGCAATCAGTCACAATGATTTGTTCTCCTGCCTTTAGATTCAAAGTTTTGCTTTGTTTTTCATAAGTATTTACAGTTTTCCCCCCTTTTGGGGGGGAATCATTGAATTAAAATTCACATTATCGTTAAATTTAGCAAGACAAGCAGCTGGTAATGTGAAAAATCCACTTGTTCCCCTTGATACCAGAGCATTTAAAAGTGTAAGTTGATATTAGTTTAGGCTTCCCCCCAACTTTTGGTCGCATACTTCAAAAACTGTTAGATATTTGATTGTTTTAAATCTTACAATTTTAGTCTGCTTTGGTCTTGTGATCTTTGCCAGTACTTCCCTGTTAAGTTCTAAATTTTCAAGGTACAAAAAAAGTTACTGTCATTATCATATACACAGAAGAATTCACACAGAATTTTAGAGCTAGAAGGTATGCCAATGATGATCTTCACCCAAATCCTTCATATTTTAGATGAAGAAACTGAGGTCTAGAGAGGGGAGCATGTCTTCCTCAAGGACCCAGCAGCTGACCTGGAGGGTGGAGATGCCCTTCTGTCTCTCACCTTACAGGCTCCTGTGCTTTCTGCTAGAGGTTGTAAGACACCTCTGTCTTGTCACTGGATGTGTGAAAAGCTGACAAGAAGGCATCCTCTCCTAAATCAAGATCAACCCTGTGAAAAGTGTATTACTTGGTCTTAGAAAGGAGGCTATTCTCCAGTCCTTTCAGATTAGGACTTTTCAAGATGTTTCTTTTAAAGTGTTTTTTGAGTACATCCCCCCTTCCCCCCCAACAAACAAGTATTGCTGTGGAGAGAAAGAGTTGTATAACCTTCGTTTGGTTGCATCTCCTGGTGCACAAAAGGGATCTAAGGAGTTGTAAGATTCAAGAGCATCTAAAAATTGTCAGCCTATCTTGAGGCAAAGTTGGAGGGAGGCTGGGTGAGGAGGTGGTCTGGGTGGGGTGGAGTTGAGTGGTAAGCAGTGATGGTTTCTGTGAGTCTTTAGGTCCAGGAAGTGTGTCGTCTTTCCTGCCTTATATAGTCTTACCTTTCAGTTTGAAACTCGAAATTCTTAGAAGCTGGTTCTTAATCTCACCAGAGACTTAAAAATCCTTTGCTTAAACCCCTGCTGCAAGAGTTTTGCTACACGTTTATGGGTCTGGGAGATACCTGCTTTGTTTCTGGCCCTGAGTTTGTAGAACTCAGATGTTTGTAAAGCAATCACTTGTTAATTCCCCTTCATTTGTTTAAGGCCCAATTTGCAAGGCAGGTCTTGTTTTTGCCAGGGCTCTTGGACTTTTAGTTTGAGGACATATTCTTGCTGTTGATGACCTGGCTTTCTAGTTGTCTTGGTTTTTTGGTTGGTTTTATTGCTTACTGCTTGTTGTCTTGAGTTTTATTTTATTATTATTTTTTTAAAATATTGAGGGAACGTTGATTTATAATGTTACATAAGTTCCACGTGTACGTGAGAGGAGACGGCGTTTCCTGTCTGTCGAAGCTGGGTGCGGCAGCTTGCTGGGTGATGGCGACCACCATGTCAAGTCAGTCCTGTGCTGACATCTCAGTCATGCAAGAGGAGGAAAAATGTCTTTTCATAACTCTGTTTTGGGAGAGTAAGAAGAAAGGGGAAGGGAGAGGCAAGTGTGGTTCTTAGTTTTTTCTTCTTTTTTTTTTTCTTTCTTACTATGAAAAGGAACTGGGAGCTGTTGCTACAAACAAACTTGGTGTTGAGCACTTCTGCATTTGTAGCTGTGTCTCTTCTGTTTTCCTCTTCACACAACACACAGCATTTTTCTTGCAGCGACCAATCAACCTGATTTGGCAAGGACTGAGAGGTTTTCGAGGATGTGGGACTTTTGATCCCAAAACTGGGAAGTTCTGGGCAAACCAGGACAGGTTGGTCACCCTAGAAAACAGAGAACACATTCACCTATGTAATTAACATAATAATGGAATTATTTCCTCCTAGATAGACATTAGGAGATTTATTTATATCTTTGGTAAAGTGAGGTAATTTTAAGTTTGGGAAAGAAACTTCCATTACATCCAAATGGAATACATTTTGGTTTGAGACAGACATGAAATTCTTTGCAATTTGATTTGATACTGAACTTGGAGGGGTGTGGGGGCTGCTCTTCATGTCATATAGTGAAGACACTGCAGTGATTTTAAGTATGTGGTCATATCTTCAGCCTCCCCCCACCCCAAAGATTTTCAAAGTTCTGAAGCAGAATGTTAAGTTCTGTTGGACCTTTGAAATGGTCACTATTCTCTGAATTTGCTGGAGACAGCAGACTGTTATCTCCATCTCAAGGGCTGCCTGTAGACAAACAGTTTCTGCAGGTGGCCCTTTTTGGAGCTTCCTGCCTGGAGGCCTTCTGGTTTGGTGTCCTCTTGCCAAGTCCAAGCTCACACTTGAGTCACCCCATCTCCTTGCCAAAGGCAGTGGCTGGCAGCTGTGGCAGCGGCAAGAAACTAGAAATCCTGTAACTTTGAAAGCAGCATTTCGAGCCCATCGCGTGGGGCCTTGGGACATGTTACGTATTTTCCTGGGTTGCCCTTGTCCTTCCGTGGCTCCCTGCAGCGCTGGGCTTACAGCAATCTCTGTCCAGTTCTGCCTTTAGCAGAGAAGAAGGGAAAAGAAAGGCATTATTCTTTGGACCCTTCTCTGGTGGTTTTGGGATTTAGTCACGTGGCTGGGGGAGTGCACTTGAGGGCTGCTGTTTCATGGCAGAGACCTAATAATAGTTCTCATTATTGTGATCTTATTGTGTGCTGGGCCCTTGCCATGAATCATCTGTGTGAATCCTCACAGCCACGCTGGGAGGTAGGTGGTGGTGTGATTCCTACTTTGCAGATGAGGAAACAGGAATAAAGAGGCTAATTCAAGGCCACACACCCAGTAAGTGACGGAGCGCAGTGAACTGCCCTGGCCGGCTGACTGCACAGGTAGGCTCTAACCACGGGGCTTTACTTTTATTAGTTGGAAGGGCAGTGCCGCCCGTAGGACTCACGAATGCCTGCTCTTGTTTACTGGGAAGCCATTGGGTGAGCCACCTTCCTGCACTTCTGTCTCGGGGGCCAGATCCAATTCTGGCAGAGTTAGGAGCTGCTCTGAGGCTTCTGCTCCTGCCGGACTTGTGCCTGGCTGAGCCTGGTAACCTCTCCACTTCCCCTGGAGAAGGATGTGTTGGTTGGTATTTCTCGTGGTCATTAACAAACAGACTATGATCATTGTCGAAAAATTAGAAAGCTAGGTAAGCAAAAAGAAAAATAGTTAAAACCACCTGAGGTCTCTGTACTCAGAGAGAGCTACTCTTTTTTTTTTAAACATTTTTATTGTGAAATGTAACATGTAAGAAAAGTCAATGAAACGTAAATGTGCAGTTTAACAAATAAATAAAAAGTAAAAATCATGTAATCACTACCCAGGTCAAGAAATAGAACATTTCTAGGACCCTCGAAGCACCCACCTGCCCTGCCATGTACCCCATCCAGATCACAACCCCCCCCCACACACCCCCTGACTCTAGTGATAACCACTTCCTAGCTTTTCTTTTTTTTTTTTAATGGTTTTACCCCTTATGTTTGCATCACTAAACATACATTGTGGTTCTGCCTTTTAACATTTTTTATATAGAGTCAGAAAGGGCTACTCTTGATATTATTTCCTTCTAGTCTTCTGTCTAGGTAGCCAGGCAAAAATGTTAAACTTTCTATATGATAATATCAGTATCTTTCTTTTGAGCGTAAAGGTGATACTTATGGCTAGACCAAAGACTTTTCCAAATAAACTGAATTTATGCTTCTCGAAAAACAGTTGGCTCCTTTAGTGTAGATCCAGCTGTGGCACGTAAGGTCTAGCCCTGGAATGATTGAAACTTTTTTTTTTTTTTTTAGTAGATTTCAACTTTTACTTCCTCTTTGCCTCTAAACAGAGAGTAAATATAAACTCAAAAAGACACACTTGTTTGTGTCAGAAACAGGACTGAAACATTCTTTAAAAGGATTTCTATTTCAACAATATAATTTGAATTTTTACACTTTTAGGCTAAAATATAGCACAAAATAATAACCTCCCAGCGTGGCTGTGAGGATTCATACAGATGATTCATGGCAAGGGCCCAGCACACAATAAGATCACAATAATGAGAACTACTATTAGGTCTCTGCCATGAAACAGCAGCAATGTTCTATTTCTTGACCTGGGTAGTGATTACATGATTTTTACTTTTTACTAAAAAAATTTTAGGCTAAAATATAGTGGAAGCTACAGAGATCTGATAATCCTGTGGTTTCCCAACTTGCATAAGCTAGGGCTCTCCTTTTTGATTTTTCCAAGGAAAATTCCATATTGAAGCTCAATATATAAAAGAGGTTGTTGAGAGTCATGGTCCCTGAGGCCCTTTCAAAGATTATTTGGGTTTAGTAGTATTTGAAAGCCCCTTTGTAAAACTGCTGGTGACTAGGTCAGTGTTTTTTTTTTTTCCCTCTCTGACACACCATGTACTCAGAAATCTAACAAATAAACATTTCTAAGTGTTTGTAGATGATTAGGAGTTACATAGAATTTGGATGACTGTATCATTTTTATCCAAACTGGGACATATTTGAGAATGAGAGGAGGGACCTTTATATATGAAGTTGGGGTAACAGGTGTAAACCAGGACTGCTCCAGGTAAACCTGGACATACAGTCAGACCACATAGACCATGTTTTCCCGCCTCAGGCTGGACAGTAACAGTGACCTAGTCTGACTAGTAGACTAGTCACTCTCTTTCCAGACGGGTTTGTACTGGAACAGGTATCACACAGGTGGTTTTCTGCCCTGATGCAAGGCCAGAGTTGGAAAGTGGCTTCTGCCCGACATCAGCTCTGACCAGTTGTGGGGGAATTTCGGGAGCAACGTATCAGAAGTGTCGTGGCTGTTGCAGCCGAGGATGGGGGTAAAATGTGATGATTGATGCCCGTGTTTGCTATGAGTGTAAGCTAAGGGAGAGGGGGCATATATTGTGCCTTAGCCAACGCTTGCTGATCAGATTCACGTGTCCTGCATCAGGCTCCTTTTTGTAAAATGAAGAGGTTGGACTGGATGCCTTTCCAGGGCCCGGGCTCCACCCTCTTCCCCTGTGACTCAGCCCATCCCTCGGAGGGCCCTGCTCCTCGCAGGTTGGTGGAGCTGTAGTGGCTGTGGAGGGTGGATTTGCAGATGCCTTCTACCTTAGCTCCCCAGGTAACCAAGTCAGACAGGTAACTTCTGGTCCCAGAAGAGGGTTGTAATCAATGTCAATGATTTAAGAACTGATCCCTGCCCTATATCCTCCCCTTTTTCATTTTATTTTATTTTATGGTCTATAAGTTTTATTGATTATTCCGTTACTGCCCTTTTGCCAACATCACGTCCACCCTCTGCCTGCCGTCAGATGTTAGGAGAGCATGTGTTTCTTCTTATCAATGCTCATGCTTGTTAAGAAAAAGAAAAAGCTGATAGCCCAAGAGGCTGAAATTAATGATTCATGACTCTGGTTTTTTATGACAGTCACCATTTTTAAGGATCTTGTCTCCCCTTTTGAAAACTGAAAATATGTTAGTCCTCTATTAATTGGGCCAAGCAAATGAGCATGTAGTCCACCTTTGGGCTATTTCAGGCTTTACTAAGCCACTGTTTTCGTATTTCTGAGTTTTCATTTGTCTATAATCCCCTCAATCACACCCTCATGAGTCATAAGCATCCCAGGGTGACTTTCCAAGGTGTATTTAATACCTGGAGATGATTTTTGCCCCAAGGGAGCCTCCTGAGCTCCTACTAAAATAAGAGAGATTTGCAGAAACATCTAAGGCCCGGACATGCAACATTTTATCACAGTTCTAACCTGTCTCTAAAGGTTTCTAGGTTAAATTGCTTAGGATTTGCTTTTATTTATTTTAAAAATAACACTTGATTGGGAAACTGAAGATATGGATTCTACTCATGGTTCTTTTTCTAATAGTTGTGGAGCTTTGGGCAAGTCCTGGCCTTAGTTTCTTTGTAAAATGGGAGTGGGTGGGTGGAGAGTCCTCCAAATTCTTTCACCTTTCTAACATTCTCAGAGAGCACTCGGGGTATTTCAGTGTCAACCTCTTCTCAACTCATGGAATCTGGATTCACACAGTATCTGGTGTCCATGAACTTCTGATTCCACCCCACCCCCAGGATGGTGGTAGCAGCTTTAGGGTTGAAAAAGCCTAAGAAACACACCCACAGTTATGTCTAAGGGTCAGGGGTCCCTTCCCCCCAAATGCCATCTTCTAGGATCTCCAGAAGCTTGGTTTTGGGGGACACAGAACCCCTGGGGCTTTTCTCAGTGTGACCTTTGAGACCCCCTTGAGCCTTTTTCAGGGGATGGGGAGCAAATTTGCAGACCCATGCTTGTCTGTTGAGAGCTGTGGTGAGCGGGGACCCACCTCAGCCTTCTTCAGAGGGGCTGCTGTAGAAAACAGCCTGCGCTCTGCTCTCAGTCCTGTTTTGTTGGACTCCGCCATAACATCTGGGTCTGTTTCCCAACCTTTGGCCCCAGAGATCGGGTGCAGTGGACATAGTGACCACAGAATTTCACAAGGAGGGGATTCCTCCCTGCAAGCAGCAGCCTCTGTATGTGGAGATACACTCAGTCTGTGGAGGAAACTTGTTTTGGTATCTTAGGCTGGCAAGATGAAGAGGAAGATGGGAGGAGAGCACAGGACAAGTGTCACAGCAGAAAGCCAGGCGAGAATATACGTTATGTAAATGTGTGACTGAAACATCATGCTGTGCGCCAGAAAATGACACATAACAACTGACTGTACTTCAATTAAAAAAAAAAGAAAGAAAAAGAAAAAGCCAGGTAAAACTCAGGTCAGCTGAGACAAATCTGCCAACTGATTATTGTTCAACGGTGGCCTCCAACAGAGGGGGTACCTCTGCACCAGGGGCAAAAAAGATGGTTTATTGAGTTTAGGAAAGAAAATATTAGAATTAATGTTTTAATTTTTTGTTTTTGAGTATTTTTTAGTATATATTATATGCTAGGACTATAAAACCCTCTTAGCTCTGCTTGCTTTCTACTTTATACCACTTGGCCAAACCACCACTTGGATTATTATTTTTAAAAATTGTTATTATTTTTTGGAGTGGGGAGGTAATTAGGTTTATTTATTTATGTATTTATTTGATGGAGGTACTGGGGATTGAACCTAGGACCTCGTGCATGCTAAGAACACACTCTACCACCCTCCCCACATCCAACCTTGGCCCCTACACTCTCTTCAACGTAGCTATCAGTGATGGAGCTCAGGTCAGGTTGCTCCTCTACTCAAAGCCCTCCTGTCTCAACCAAAGTAAATGCTGTCATCATAGAGTGGCCCACCGGGCCCCCTCCGCTCAGCCCTTCCACTCACCTGTCCAGCATGTCTCTTCTGGTCTCTCCCTGGCTCTTGTCCCCAGCACACTTATCAGTGGACGTCCTAGGTGCACTCCTGCCTCAGGCCCCTTGCTTCCTGCTTCCTGTGTAGCTCTTCCCCGGGTGTCTGCATGGTCCACCCTCACCTCTCTTGGGTCTTTACTTGAGTATTACCTTCTCAGTGAGTCCTTTTCTGGCTACTCTACTTATGTCCCACTGCACACATTTCTTGTCCCCTTTTCTTTATTTGCTCTATGTTTTGTAAATATCCTTTATGCCATACATTTTATCTTTTTTTTTTAAATTTTAAATAAAAACTTGTGTAGGAGAGCCACAAGTAACAGGGCCAAGACTTTTTTTTTTGGTTCATTCCCTTCTGTATCTTCAACACTTAGAACAGGGTAAGGCACATAGTGAATGCTCAGTAAACATTTGTTAAGTGAATGAGCTAAATATGTATGTGTATATGTTTATATGTATGTGTTCACATGTTTTTACTCTTGAGGTGCTCAAAGAAAAAAATTCAGAAAAACTGTCAACAGAGCTTCCATCTGTACACTGGGATATAGGATTTCCATTCAAACAAAATCTGGAGATTTTCTGCCCCATCAAAAGATAAAAGACCAATTTTTGTCTTTTTAAATTTCT